TCCAGATTTATCAAAATTAAGAGGTTTTATGCGTAATCCAGTCTGAAAAACTGGACTTTGCAATTCTGTCCGTATGTCTGTGTGTGAATGTGTGTGTGTGTGTGTGTAAACACGATAACTTGAGTACCGTTACAGCTAGGTTGATGAAATTTCATACATAAGTATTTTATCAAAATCGTAGATCCGTATCAGCTTTTGAGCAATTTCCGATAACCGGAAGTGGTACTTTTCCTACTTTGAAATTTTCAAAAGCCTATAACTTGAGTACTATTTCAGATAGAAAAACGAAATTTCACATGTAAGTAAAAGATCTAATTCTCTACCTTCTGTTAAATTTTGAGTCATTTCCGTTGACCGGAAGTAGTAATTTACGCTACTTCCGATTTCTCAAAAAACTAAGGTAAATTTTTAAAGTACTAATAATATTGCGCACTATTATGCACTTTTTTATTTAGCGTTCACTTGGTGTGCAATTCTTTTGTCTACGAGATTTTATTCTATTTTTAAAACTTTAAGTATTTAAAAATGGATTAAAAATCATGTCTATAGCCCGAGTTCCCATCTCCTGTTATTTTATATAAAAATATTCGAGAAAGTTTAGGGGAGATCACTCCCGGTTTATTATTCAAAGAGATTCATGAAAATTTGTAATAACAGAAGTTCGGTAAAGACGACAGAGATATTTTAAATGTAATTTCACAAAGTTTCTATCAGTGTTTATTTCAGACTAATTTTTTTCCGGGGGGGGGGGGGGGGGTGGGGTATAAGAGACACTGGTATAAGTATATATTTTCTATATAATATCCAATTTTCGGCGCTTTTTATCAAGGTTATGGTGTCCAGGACAAAGAATTTTGACGCTCTCTCTAAACCGTCTGCGATTAAACCGCAGATGAAAAGATTTAATGAAATGTCAAATATGATCCAGTTAATACTTCCCATCTTACTTGTAATTTAAACAAGTTTTCTACAGCTATTATAATAACCAAACTTTTCGACGATAGTGAAAACATGATGTGTTTCATATCTGCCTCTATATTTAATAAGGATTAACTGTCCAGTCTGTTTTGTTTCATTGTTGTTTAAATTCGGATTTTAAAAAAAAAATGCATTAAAAGAGGTTAAGAAAATTGCTATAGTAGTGTTAACCCCTTTCTCTCATTTTTGATGGGCTAAGCAGGTGCCTATATTTTTTAATATATTACGTATTGGCAAATACATCACAAGTTTTACTATTGTCGAATCTAGAAAATACTTTTTAAATTTATGATCAACAGAAAATTACACCAGTTTGTGTTCGGTTAATTTCCCTACCATAATGAATGCAATTAAAGTTTTCCTCTCCCGTTCACCGAAGTAAGGGAAATAACCAAAATGAATTGGGGGTTATTTCCCTTGATTCCGACAAGGGCGGAAAATTTATACTGGCCAATGTTGACTTTGATATTATGATACAATTCAGGTTTCCAGCTCTACACTCTGGTGTACCCGGATGTTGTGAAAGATGCCAAAACACACGTGACCTTACGCGACTTCATGGCAGCAGACGGGTAAGAGGTCATTGACCGCCAGATAAAAACACTGGGAGCATGAGTAAACGTTCTCATAATATTTTTAATAAATTACTTTCAGGAATTTTTTTTTATGTTGCGGGTAAATTCTTTATTAAATTACTCATAGAATTATAGTTAATTTCGTTTTTATAGGGAATAAACACGAATAGTGAAGTTAAATATCGCGAGTTACTTCACTTGCCTAAGTTGTCAAATTTCAATGTGATGAAAAAAAAAAACATAATTTCGGGGTGGGGGTGGGGATTAAAAACCCCAAGTAATAATAGTAATATTTAAATTTGTTTCTTAATTAAGGGATCTCACCGGGTATGCATATACAACATTGCGTCACATTGTTCTAAGTTACTTCCCCTAGAAACATTATCCGCTGTACAAACGAAGGTCGCCTATCATAATGGATATTCAACGCTATCTTTTACATACGAACTAGAATAGCATGTGTGTTTATTTTTAGTAATCCGTAAATCCCATTAAGAAATTACTACATCACTTCACTAACTTAACGGTTTTGTAGAGGGCCTTCTTTTTTTTCAAATCTGAAATTAGGGTGCCAAAGTTTAATCAATATATCCCTGAAAATATAGGGTATGATGATACGCTATTTTAGTTGCCCCCCGCCCCCTTCTCAAACAAGTTACAAAAAGTTGCCCCCTAGAAAAAAAAACTTAATCAAACGTAAATGAACATGTAATACATTGTCTCAAGTTTAAACAGCCCTCCATCCCCGGCCCCCATAAATAACGCACGGCCCCTAACACAAAACAAAAATTAATAAATAAAAAAGTAACAAGAAAACATCAATTATTTCGATTAATTATCCATACCGATCCATAACTCAAAACCTAGCCTTAACCCTCGTCATAACAAGTCTGTTTTGTGATGCTGGTAAAAAAAAAAGAATGCACACATAGATGTTTGTACAAAAGTTCAACGAATATTGATCGCTTGTTTATATTTTAAAATACTACTACTGGTTGGTTACAGATGTTCCAATTTTTGCAGCCATATTTGGGCCGAACGGCTAGTCTCGCACATTCTCGAACCTTCTTGGACGAGGGTCATACACCAGAAGATCGTCAAGGGGAAGTACTCCGAGCAGACGTACAACCGCGACATGAACGCTCTGTTTGTTAAGCTTCACCTGCTGGATCCACAGTCCGTAATACCTGCATACCAGCACCTGCTGAATCAAAGAGGTGGGGTGGAGGTGTGGGGTGGGGTGGATGTGTGCATACCAGCACCTGCTGAATCAAAGAGGTGGGGTGGATGGGTGGGGTTGGGGTGGGGATGGATGTGTGGGGATGGGGATGAATGTGTGGGTGTGGGTGGATGTGTTGGGGTGGGTGGATGTGTGGGGGTGTGGGTGGATGTGTGGGGGAGTGGGTGGGGTGGACGTGTGCATACCAGCACCTGCTGAATCAAAGAGGTGGGGTGGATGGGTGGGGTGGGGGTGGAGGTGTGGGGGTGGATGTGTGGGGTGGGGGTGGATGTGTGTATACCAGCACCTGCTTAATCAAAGAGGTGGGATGGATGTGTGGGGGTGTGTGTGTGTGGAGGGGGTGCATGTGTGGTGTGGAAGGGGGGTGGATGTGTGCATAGCAGCACCTGCTTAATCAAAGAGGTGTGGGGGGGGGGGGGTGGGGGGATATTAGTAGTATTGGAGATCTGTAATTTTATATTCAATGTATTTTTAAACAGTTTCTTTTAGGCATCTCTTTGTGGTGGGGGTGGAGAGGGCACTGTCTCCTCGGACAAAATATTAAATTTATAAATTATACAGAAAATATATATAAAACCGACCCGAAGTTTCAAGTGTTCCGTGTCCCCGCCCCCCTCCCGGATAAAATAACTGAAGGAAATACTGATTTTAAAAATGTCCATTTAGCCCTGCCTGTTGTGAATCTGGAGCTGGCTACCAGAAACTACCTCGGAGGACCTCTCGACTGGACCGTGATTCAACGGGATGTGGAAAACGCCGAACACAAAACCAGCACCCCCCGTGCACATAAGTAGACTGAGCCTCAACTCGGAAGTGGACGTCCATCACGGTATTGAAGTGGACGAGTTCATTGTGACTGAGTGTAGAAATCTTGGGTTTTGGGCGGGCACTCGGCCAGATAACTTTAAAATTGTGAAAGCCAACGATAAATGTAGATTGATGTGAAAATAATTATACCGTCAGTCCACACGTGCCTTTTTATATATTCTTAAAATGAATTGAATGATGATGCAAATGTAAGAAGTAATTATATTATTTTGTTACATAATTGATTCTCTCAGTTACAAGACGAATGAAAGACGGACTCGCATGTAAATTAATAAAAATAGATGTTGTAAACTAATTGCCTTTAGCTTGGTGTCTTTTAAATTATTATTTTGATGCTATTTCTTAACAGAGTTTCTTCCAGGCATCTCTTCGGGGGGGGGGGGGGGGGCGAAAAAATTTCTGCCGCCCCCCCCCCCCCGAACGAAATTAAATTTATAGAATTAATATAGAAAATATATACTTTTAACAGTGTCCGCCCCCCCCCCCCCCGAAGAAATTCTACCGCCCCCCCCCCCCGAAAATTTCAAGTGCCCCCCCCCCCCCCCGAAGAAAAAAGTCTGGAAGAAACACTGGTAACCCCCCCCCCCCCCCCTCAAATACAGTTGGACTCCATCACGAGCCCCATTTAACGCGACCACTGGAATGATATGTGGTCACTATGCACAACCGCTCTTACTTTCCTTTCACGTGAGTCGGGTACCCATCAGAGCTGGGTGGACTCATGGACATCTTACAAACTCGAGTCCGAAATCAGAACTGAGACTGAAAGAACGTGGTCTATTTATATATTATCTAGCGATTGGTACTGCTAATTAAGAAGATGCATGCTCTTACTCTAAACTCTTAATTTTAAACTTCAAAATTTCTAAACCGAACTTAAACATTTAGTGAAGTAGATCAACGTTTAAACCAAATGTTTGTTTATTAAGATAGGCCCATCCGTATCATCCTATGTGGCACTGGCAACACTGAAAATCAGTCAGACACTTGAATACATTTTACTTTAGGCGCTAGAATCATTTTAAAATTAAAAGCAAAAAAAAAAAAAATTAAGAAAAAAATATTTGTAAACCTGTAAAAAGTTGTAAGAAAGGTAATATTTAATAGATCTAGATCTATTCTATATGTTAAAATTTTCTTAAAGACAAATAACAAATTATGTGCGTTTACAATATAACATTCTAGATCTACTACTGTTCGTCACATGCGAAACGGTTTCCTTCATTGCGTATCTTTTTCTAGCTTTGGTTTTGATTGTTGGAAACAGACGAAAACACGGGCGTGAACTCGAGTTTTGTTTTGGTTGAGTTTTCATGACCTTAAAACATCCCAGAAGGCGTGGTTTCAACGAGGTCAACACAGCCAGCCAATCGCAGACATTCCCATTCGCCATCCATTTTTCAGTGAACCGGCTTGCGTCTGGCTTCCACGGCTGTTAAAATTTGTGCTAAGTATAAAAGATCGGACTCAAAAACAATTCTGAAATGGATGCCTCAACAAATACAAAATCTCAGAAGGAAGTAACCAAAATGGTGGGATTTATTGGCGGTGGTCGTATGGCCCAAGCCATGGCGAAGGGATTCATATCGTCTGGTAAGTCGTGGCCTTTAAAAATTAGCATGATAACTGCGCGTGTTTACATTTTTGCGTGCACGTGTTAAAAGCTAGGTTAAAAGTTTATCCTTGTAGATCGTAGGCTATGGTGTGTTGATGGTCATCGTATGTGATATACTTAACTACTAACTACAGTTATACCAGGGTCCGATAATGCCACACTCTAACTCTAATGGAACCTACGATGCTACGAAAATCTGATCACATACAACGCCTAGCCTAACAGTTAACAGTTAACACTCACTGACATTAGCCAGCGATAGAGGAGAATCTAGAAATCTAGAACTAGAATCTGGATTCTAGATCTAGAATCTAGATCTAAAATCTAACCACGTCTAGATTCTAGATCTAGATCTAGTAGGTGAAAAAAATCTCCATCAAATTAAAAACTAATGAAATGCCTGCAGAACCCAAGTGACAAGTCAAGTATCACCGAAAATTTAAAATGTCACTATTTTTTGAGACTTTTTTTTGTAATAAAAAGTAACATTCTCCATCCCCCCCCCCCCCGAAGAGATACCTGGAAGAAACTCTGGTTGTTGCTATCAATAAGTGTATTACAATTCCCACAAAGACTTAATACATTGAAATAACAGAGAAAAAAAAAATCAGTTTAAAGTTTATTATGTTGCAAAAAGTATGACGTCATTTGTGGACGTCCTGCCCCAGCCACATAAACAGTACAATACAGTAATACAGTACATAGATCTAGTTATAGACACAACAAGAGAAGAGCTTGTACAGACCTTTTAGCCCCTGTATAGATACAGAGGCGTAGCGATGGGGGGGGGGGGGGGCAGGGGGGGGACATATGTTCCCGGGCGCCGACCTTAGGGGCGCCAAAATGGGTTGGAAAAAGTAATCGAAAGTTTGAGGGGGGGGGGGGTGCAAATCGAAAGTTTGTCCTCGGGCGCCGGGAAGGGTCGCTACGTCTCTGTATAGATATAATCTACGTTGCAAGCCTCCAGTCTATTAGTAAGCACAAACGGGGTCAACGCTTTTAACCAGTAGTGATGATACAATCTCTCAAACACGAGGCTATCCAGTGGTCGACCAATGCAACCGTTCACCTGTCATCAAGTAAATTGACAGGTGACAACATTAGTGGCAGTAGTTGTTTAGAAGTTGTCTAAGCGTAGTCAGCAGAATATTCAGAAAATCACTTTTTTGGTGTGGACAGTGCATATAAGGGATGGCGTGTGGCAGTAAGGCATGTTGGAGATTCTCACTACATCTATATGGTCTTGATATGCATGAGGCTTTCTGGAGATTGTCTCACTATATGGCCTTGATATGGATGGGCCACCTATAGTAGCTTGACTGAATGTTTACATATCTCTATCACATTTAGTGTTTGAAGTTAAGAGACTTGTAAAAGGCGATAATCGCATCCACGAGAAACAACCCAAACACTGCACTTCTATTTGAAAACCAACAATGTTGTTAAAAAAAAAACGCAAACAAAATAATTTTTTAAAAATAAAAAAAATAGATTTTTACCAGCGACGTCACAAGGGGATAATCCGGCACACAGATGACGCAGGGATTAAGGTCACGTATGCAGTAACGCCTAACTCGGATTTGATGGAAGTGTCGAGATGTTGGCCTGAAAATGTTAAACTGGGTTGTGAATTTCTAAAGATGCTATCGTTTGGTTTAGATATACCTGAGAAAGGTGTGTCCAGTTGATGTCTTTAGGTTTACATTCTACTTGGAACTTGAGATTAGGTCAAGGTCTGCACTACAAAGGTCATCACACTGACTAGCATGTTGACAAACATACTGTTAGCCAATTGACCAACTTATTGGTGATATCCCCACCCATTATATACAATGTCGTTCACGCATTCAGCTGACTGGCTGCTGCTGTTTCTTTGAAGATTGAATAAAAAAGTATGTTCACCAGAAAACATACCAACACGGATTAGTATGTATAGTGGGGGAGGGGTGTAGGGGGTGCAACAAACAAAAGCCGTCGCCAGTTTACCGAGTGACCGTTACAAGCGTGACGTCTTTGGGGGGGGGGGGGGGGATAGCGCGTGATGCAATCGAATGTAAGAAGCAGGCGTGACGCAACTGGGTGAAATATTGTTTACCAACATACCAGCAGCGTTCACAGTCAACAGACCTCACGCGGTCGATTGCTGGAGGCAGAGCTGTTTGAATGATGCAACGCGTGCATGCAAATAATAATTTTAAAACTTATGCGAAAGAAAAATGAAAAAATAAGTAACACATTATGGGATGTTTTTCGGTAGTGACTCATAGCACGTGCACTTCTTGACATTCTTTTGATTCAGATTTTTTTTGGGGTATTACAAAACTAGCTGGCAGGTTTATGCTGTATTATGTATAGTATAGTTGCTTTTTTGGGATTAGAGATAGGGTTACTTGAATTATTATTATTATAGTAGTAGACCAAATAGCATCAATTAGCATAATTTTAATACGTGGGTCTACCGATTCCTGGTAGAGGTAGGACCTGCCATTGTTACGTCCACAACTAATGCAACTTTCGTAAATGTTATTGGATTGGAAGGGGGGGGGTGTGGCGGCTGTGATGTTGGTTTGACGTGAAGCATGATATTGTTATGTTGACACAACGAATCTCTGGAACTTGAATACACATTTATCTCTGCAGGTCTGGTGCGGGCTAAAAATATCCTCGTCAGTGACAACAGTCAACAGATGCTCTCCATGGTGGGGGTAGGTTCATCTTGTTTTTGTCTACGTTTTTTTTTTGTCTTTGTCTGCTTTGTTTTCTCATCAGCAGTTATTCTTCCAGGCATCTCTTCCTGGGAGCAGAACCCCCTCCCCCCACCCCCAAGAGTTTTCCGCCCCCCCCCCCCCCCTCGAACGAAATTGAATTTATATAGAAAATATATACTTTTAACAGTGTGTCGTCGTCGTCCCGTCCCCCCGAAAATTTAAAATCCCCCCCCCCCCCCCGAGAAAATAAGTCTGGAAAAACACCGCTCATCAGTTTCCCCATGTGTTCTTGTCTGTTCGGCACTTGAGTTCAAGTTATTTATAATTTTACACCAGTGGCTTGGGTGGGAAAGGGGGGATCAATCTTTAATACATGACGTCACTCAACATAGCCTATTTTTATCCCTCCCACCCCACGGCAATAAGATTACTACCCCCTCCCTCCTTGTTACTCGGTCACTGTTAAAATCTGGGTCATCATACTGAACTGCATCACTTTATTGGACATGGTCTCTATATTAAACAGTGTCACTACATTAAATGGGTCACAGCACAATATTAAACTGGATTACCATATTAAACAGGGTCACTATATTAAGCAGGGTCACTATACTAAACAGTGTCCTATATTAAACTGTGTCACCATATTAGACAGTATCACTATATTTATCAGGGTCACCACATTAACACGGTGACAGTAAAAATGTAATTTATATTTAACCCGGAACATATTATGTAATATAGAAAACATAATTTTAATGTACTCTGTTTGCATCTTTAATCTCGCTATTAATATTTATGTTCCTTAATGTATAGGCCTATATTATAATACATTTTACCCCAGGAAATAGGGGTAAACACTACAATGTCCAACAAAGAAGTCGTTGAGAACAGCGAACTCATCGTCATAGCTGTCAAACCTAACATTGTGGCCCCCATATTGAAAGAAGTGGCTGGAGTCGTCTCCCCTGACAAGCACCTGTTTGTGTCTATTGCTGCAGGTGTAACCATCAGGTCAATTGAACAGGTGAGTGGTTCTATGTGTATGTATGTCTGTGTGTGTGTGTGTGTGTGTGTGTGTGGTTAAATAGCCACAGCAAAGCTGTAGATTATGATGTTGCCTGACAAGAATAAAGAGATAAAGGTAAAGATAGGATTAAACAATAGGCAATTGTTTGAATCTGGGTCAAGAAATATAACTTTGTTACACGCTAATGAGCCCAGCAAATAAATTAAAGCACCAAGTGCACACGTCCCTCATATGCCATGGAAACAGTGTATCCTGTTGGCTAAATAATAGTAAAAACCTATTTGTTTCTAACAAGTACAGCACTATTGGGTCTCGAAGTCAACCTTTATGAGTACAGAGCAAGAACAATCCAAAAATGTGTAATCCAAAGCCTTGAACCTGGATTAAGAACGACTCCAAACATTTTTGTATTTCAGATCTTTATGTTATCAATAATTCCAGCTTTTAACATTGATATAATAATTTTGTAATTAATAAAGAAAAAAAAAATTTCCCTCTAGAATCTTCCTGCGGGTACCCGTGTGGTGCGTGTGATGCCCAACACCCCCGCCCTGGTGCAGGCTGGTGCTGCCGTGATGGCGTCTGGCAGCAGCGCTCTACCTGATGATGTCATCTTGGTCCAGGAGCTGTTGAGGACTATCGGCATCTGTGAGGAGAGTCCGGAGTATTTGCTGGACGCAGTGACCGGTGTCAGTGGCAGTGGACCTGCCTATGTAAGTTGTTGGTACAGTACCTGGTGGTAGGGAATGTCACGTAATAAGGAGAGGACCAATTAGTTAGTTTCACTGAATAGAACTAAATGAGTCAACCAACTGCGCTTTCACTTAATTTTAGAAGTCTTTCATTGCAAATAAAAATAAGGAATCAGATTAACTAAACTTTGGATAAAACAATACAATTATTTACTAATACTAATATTGTCTTATTGATTGTCAAAGTAATTTAATCCTCTGGTTCATGAAAAAATTAGTCTTCTGATAAAAGTGTGGTAATTATTTTTACTGCTATTCCAGGCATTTGCTGCCATTGAATCTCTGTCTGACGGTGGGGTCAAGATGGGACTGCCCAGAGAACTAGCCACTAAATTGGCTGCCCAAACATTGCTGGTAAGTCTTGGTGAAAATGGAGATGGTGTGGTTGAGTACACATTACTAACTAGAAAGTCACAAGTTTACAGACTTTAGTCAGTAGGATGCCCCTGAGTCCATCCAGCTCTTATTGGTACCTAAATTAAATCTGGGAAAGTAAAGGCTGCTGACCACGGATTCTGAAACATAACTTTTAAAGGGTTTAAAAACATTATTTTTGTTCTTACTCTACTGATTGTAAGAGAAGCATTGCCAGTATTCACACTAGTGCATTGAAATAGATTACTTAACGCATTACAAGTTATGTAACAGCAAAACCATGATCGTGAAATGGCGCGCTTAAGGGTTAGATTTTTCACATACTTAATTTAAAGATTAATTTTTTGACAATATCACAAAAAAATGTGACATGAATGATGGGTTTATCTGTGACAAGATTGTAGCCTATAAAATTATGGGATGTTTCCCAGGGTGCAGCTAAGATGGTGCTGGAGACAGGGAAACACCCAGGCCAGTTAAAGGACGAGGTGTGCTCACCTGCGGGAACAACCATTGCTGCCATGCATGTCCTGGAGAAGAAAGGTTTCCGTGGAATTTTAATGGACGCTGTGGAGGCTGCAACTCTCAGGGCTAAGGAGCTAGGGGCCAGTAATTAGCTTCAGTGTAGTATTTAATTTGTATAGCTTAGGTCCAGAAATTGGCTTTAGTTAAGTATTTGATTTGTATAGCTTAGGTCCAGAAATTGGCTTTAGTTTAGTATTTGATTTGTAGCCAAGGTCCAGTAATTTTCTTTAGTTAAGTATTTGATTTGTAAAGCTAAGGTCCAGAAATAAGCTTTAGTACAGTATTTATGTTGTATAGCTTTAGTACAGTATTTGAGTTGTATAGCTAAGGTCCAGAGATTAGCTTAATACAGTATTTGCGTTGTAATATTATACACCTAGGGGCCAATATTAGGGTTAGTGAAGTATTTAAGTTCTCTATTCAAAACTTTTTTCTACTAGAAAATTATGTTTATATTTTATGAATTCCATTAAATATATCTATAATAATTACTCAATAAAGTAGGTAAATGGAATAAATATGTAATGATTACAAACTTGATCGTATAGTTATAAAGTTTTATGTAAATGCCATCCCTTTATTATGGCACCAACATATCAGTATTTGTTTTCTTATTGTTTGATCACATGAATATTTATTTAAAATGCTTGATAGTGTGCATTATATTGAAAATGTTTATACTAACTTAAAGAATTCAACAAAAATATTTATTGTGGACAAAGACTTGGTGAAATGCTTAAAAGCATTGCTTGGTCATGTTTTATTTTTAGAATGGTTTTACATATACATGTTTTTGATTTTGTGTTGTGTGCAGATGTAAATGCATATATGTTGTAGAAATGTCTGATTCAATCCTTCGCATTTAAATATTTTTGTAAATTCTTATTCACTATTTTTTGTGTACTATTTAAACAAAATTACATTCCATCTTTTTTGTTCATGATAGAAAATTATTTTTCTAATTTTACTCATTTCTAAATCTACTGTGAACAAAGATTTGTCTTCTCTCAGCCACTTGTTACTTAAGCTTCTATTTTAGTGCAATTTTACACCTTTGTTTTGTAATAACCTATTTTTTTTATTATAAACATTTTGATGTTAATGTGAATCATTAAATATGTAAATTACAGTATTAAGAATTCTGATAATTTGGTCAAAATTGTTTTGTTACATCAAAAATTTCTAGGGAAAATAACTCAAATTATGTTAACAAATGTAAGTTGTAGCAAAAAATAGTGTCTTATACTTGCTAAAGTAATCTTTACATATAACAATGTGAAGTTTGAGAATTTTCCTCAAATGTTATATTTTGTTGATGTATTTAACATAGAAGATAAAAGTATCAGTTGGACCTAGATATCAAAGTCCTCAGATAAGGGACTCCATGCATTAAGAAATCAGGTCAAGTGATGTTCTAGTTAGTATTTCACATGGTGAACCAGTTCCTTGAAAACATTTTAAAGTATAAGGATGCTCTGTCATAGGTTGAAATAAGATTTGTACATAGCCTGCTCAGGAAGGAAAAATGAATTGGAATATAAGGCCACAATGGTATTTTTGGAGCAAAATCAATAGACCAAGTGCTATGGTTTGTGTGAAAGAAAAACTCTAGCAATTTTTAAAACAAAGCCATCCAAATAGATTTTTATTACATTAACATGATAATATTGAAATGAATAAATGATGTGACAGAACATGTACACGGGACGTCTAATGATTTATGATATTTTACAAGCAATGAGGAAACATCCTGCTGCCAAGTTTAATCAAAGTTAACGATAAACTAATGAGTAATTGAACACCAATGGCTTACAAATGCACCACCACACATTCATAAGACTACAGAGAAAAATCTTAAAATTAAAGAGGATATGACAGCCTGAAGAACCAGCCCCTCATCAAAGAAATATAAGAAGACTGCTAAGAAACAATGCCACTCTGTCCGTTATCAGTTTGTTACTGCGTAATTTGCCTGATGTTATACACTCCACATTTTAAATAACTGAATGTATATTTTAATGAATCAAACGAGCACTGCTCTCAAATAAGATGAAAAATGCAAATGCCAAAATAATTAACATGATGAACAAAATTGACCCACCACACACTTCCCTAGTGTCCAGATTGTTTAAAAGTAAAAATTAAAAAAAAAAATAAAGTTGGCTCAAAAAAAGTAAATTAATCATTACAGGTATTTTAAGAATTTGTACAGTATTTCTATTCCATTAACTTGCTGTACACTTCTACAGGCATAATCAACTCTGCTTTACATTTAGATCCCCTGTAATAACCACTAACACACCCCCCCCCCCCAATGATCTTCACCTGACAGCCTAGAATACTTATCCTCCCAAAAGTTAAGCCAAACAAAGTAACAGGTTTTTAGCCACAGATAAAGTGTTTTATTGTGACAGTGGGGGGAAATAAAAAAAAAACAACGCTTGATGTAAATAAAACTATTTGCAAATAAATTAATAAACTTTCTAGTCTGTTCAAACATGTGGCTTAATTAACATGCAACACCAAAGTTGGGACCTTTAGAAATATAAATATCTCCAAAGGGCTCCTCCTGCTTGGTATTAACAGCCTGGTGCTTTTTGAGAACTAAAAGTGTGTAAAACCTAGATGCCGCCTGTTTGCGGTTGTGATTACGAGCCATTTCCTTGAAGCTCAAAACATCTGAAAATGTGAATGCCTGTTCAAATATCTGTTGCATCTGCTGTGTGCGCTTGCTCCATCTCTTTTCTTCTTGCTCTGCATTTTCTGGCATTTGATCAGCTTCCTGTTCTTGTTCCAAGTCATCAAATGTCTAATAAATTAAAAAAAAATAAAGTTTTTAAATAGTGAAATAGCATTAGGCAAACAACATTCAAATCACCAAATGTTTATGAAATATAAAAAGGTTTCAGCGAATAGGCACCAGACAGACAATTTAATGAGCGTTGTTAAATAAGGACAAAAGCCATTTAAGTATTACATGATTGTCAAATTCGAAAAACGTCTCGAGTTCAAATCTTCTGGCAGATAAGGCTCGATCCATTCCAACACTATAAAATTAAGAACGAAGAAGAAGAAAGTAATTACCATTCCAGGCGCAACAGATTGTGGGGCGACTGATGGTGGAGCCACGGAGAACGGAGCAACTGAAGGTGGTCCATCATCCAGCAGGGGATTAATGGTGGGAACAATATTTGATGGATCTGTTGGGACTTCTGATGGTGCTAAGGTTATGTCAGGTATCTGATCAAATACTGACTCGTTTTCTCTTGGTAGCTCTTCAGTTCTGCAAGCAAGATAACAAACATCTTTAATGACAAGAGTTGATCCAAATGTACTTAGAAGAGTCTATCTAGACAATACACATTACAATTAAATATAGTGGTATTTCGATATTTATTAAAATATACATGCATATTATTCAAAGGGTTTTGTATATAAATCATGTTTTACTACAATGTAATTTACCTGCGAGGTGGTTCAATACTTTCTTCATGTCGTGACCGAGATCTCTTAGAAACTGGTGTATTTGCTACAATTTCCGAAACATTGATGGAAGGTTCCACTGCTATTGATGATTCATTGATATTCCTGGTCTCCTCCAGTATTGTGGACATCTGCAATTGCTTGCTGGCATCTATCAAGGTGCTGTTACGTTCATTCTCTCTGGCTATCTCAGGGGCCATGTCCAGATCAATTTTAGAAGATCCTGGCTCATAGTCATCAGACATTGGCCGGCAAACAAGGTTTCGGGTAAAGTGCTGGAGAAAAATTAAACCAATAAATAAATCACTATTGCTTAGTGTTGTAAAATTCAAATAAAACACCCATGCTTTTAACACCACCCCATTGATAAAAAAAAAGCCCAATAAACCCAGTAGCATTGAGTTTCTATAAGAACAACGAAGACAAAATATTATAGTGACTCAATTAAGATCTCAAACATTAATGTCAACCAGCTAAAATAGGAGAAAATAAACCCACTCTACAATTTACATACATACGGATGTTAAGTTTATTAAAGTGTTAGCAAATAGTTTTACACCCACCTTTACAAGAACCTTGGAAATGATAGGCCTGCCCGGTAAAACAAAGACCTTCTCCACTCCACCAGTCTCTTTCCAGAGCATTAATTTCTTTGTGGGTGGGGCTAGATCTAGGGCAGATACAATGTCTGATGTGTCTGAGAGTTGCAACTTCATGGTTTCACTGGGTATGCCCTTTTGCTCATCAACAATAAGCTTACGCTTTCGTTTTCCCTTCCTTTCTGTACCTGTTGAATCAAAAATTAATTGCCACATGTGAAAAAACACAATACAACTGGTATAGCAGGTAAAAAATAATGAAATATGTAAATCTTTCTTTGCTAGTTGCTTATGTAATTTGTTCAGCTCCATTCTTTGCTTTAACATCAAAATATATAGAAAGTGAGAAGTCTAGAACAATACCCATTGTACAGCTGATGTAACGACCTTTAGAATTAACATTATTAGCTAAGTGAGAAACACAGCACGACCTTTCAAGTACAAAATCAATCAAATTTAATACTATGCTTTAATAAAGGGATGTCTTGCTCCAATAAGAGTTGATGATAATAATAAAAAACTCCAACATACCTGGAACAGTTGTGATATCAAGAGGTTCTAGAGCAAAAGCTTCTTCCTCATTATGGACAAGTGTAGTCTGTTCCCCCATAGTGCTAGAAACAGCCGACACACCAGCAGCTGCAGCTTGGAGGGGAACAGTTTCCTCTGCATCAGTCTCACCACCCAAAGACTTCTTATCCCTCTCATCTGAGAAATCAACATCAAAGTTAAAAATGTTGGCGCTACGTTTTATGACAACAGCTAATTAATTATTGCAAGTTGTTCTAAACATACCTCGTTTAGGTGAAGCGGAAGCAGCCTCAGATGCGTCATTCGTGGCGTTGACATTAGACATGGCAGGTGGATCTTCAAACAAACCTCCAGTGCCCATAAAGTTTTGTGCTGTTTAATGACAAGTACAACTATTTGAAATAGGAATAAATAATAATACTGATCAAACTTATTTCATCACCAAAACTTCTTCAAAGAGACTAAAATATAGCCTACCGAAAAAATCCTGATCAATATCTCCAAAGTTGTCATCATTATCTTCATCACAGCCATCATCTGCATCTGAAAAACAATAGATAAAACCAAATATAAATAAAAACAAAATAACTGTAAGAGTGAAACTACTTTACAAAACCACAACTAGCACTTACCCATAAACTCATCACCAAACCCATCTCCCACAACTGGGGGAGGTAAGTCTATGTCCATTGGCTTTTCCTTGTCAGCTGGAGAATGAGGTTGGTCATCTTTTGGCACATCTATGTCTGATGGCTTATATAGACCATCATCTAGATGTCCATCTTCATGAAGAATTTCCCTCTCATCAAATCCCACATCACCTGAAGTACCAATAATGACATAACTACTTTTTGAAAGCACATTATTTCTCAAGTAAATTTCTATTCATAAAGCTTAAGCTTCTTAAATCATATTTAAAAGCTAACAAAGAAATTTTGAGTAGCCACTTCAACCAAACAAGCCACACAAAAGCCATTCACTCATGATTCCAATTGGAGGCACGCCATCAATCTGTAAATATGTGTGAGTGGAAACATCTTGTATTATAAAATGCCTTTAGATAAAAAGCCACTCTCTATGGGGGTCAAAGGCAACTTTTTGAACAATGAATGAATAAGAAAAAAAAAAATCTTAGTAAAGTAAAGAACAGTATTGTACCCACCTAAATGGTAAGGGAAATAACTCCAATTGGAATCTCCCACATTACAAGAAGGAGAAGGTGGTTGGAGAAATGAAGGAAAAAAAAAAAAACAACAACCAAAAAGCCAACAACCTTTGACCCAAAAGAAAGTAGCTTCTTACCCTTGCCATTTAGCAACCCCCCAACACTGAGGTCTGTCTTTTCTGATGTATCAATTTTGTCTGGACATGGCAATTTTTCAAGACATTTACTGTTACAAGCTATTTCATCTATATCACAAGCATGTTCTTTATGATTATGGTGACAGCGACGGGTGGTAGTGACACATTTATCATCTTGAAAATTATATTCGGAATCATCCCATTCTTCCTCTGACCCCGATTCCATGTCATAGAAACCAGGGTCAGTGTCTAGTCCAATGCCACTATCTGAATGCTCAAGAGGAAGTCTGTCAGCATTCTCAGCTGCGTTATCAAAACTGGCATCTAATTTTCTTGAGGCACTTAAACGTTTACGGCAAGGGCAGTTGGCACACTGGGCACAAAAGTTTTTATCCTGAGACGAAGAAGCTAGCGATAAATGTATTTTTCTAGAAGATTGAGGAGGAGTCATAAACGGTTCAATTTCTGAGGTAGATGGTGATAGAATATTGTCACAAGAGTCAACAGTATAGCTGCCATGACTTTTTATAGGTGTGGAATGGTCGAAACAACTAGGAGAGGTCAACAAGGTGTTTGGATTTGTTATATCACAGGTATTTTCAACATCATTCTCAATCCCACTGTCTATACGAGAATTTCTATCACAGATGGTTACAATGGTTTCATGATGATATGCAGTTGAACGCCTGCAAACACACTCAAGCTGAGATGACATTTTACAGACTAAACAACTGAGATATGTTGATTTTAATGTCAGGGCTCTGTCCAGTAATTCACAAAGAAAATCTTCACTCAGTGGATGTTTGATAAAATTAGATGCTTCCCCATAAATTATAAGGCAAAGTTTTTCATTAGTTACAGTTTCTCCCAAGGAATCGTCTTCCAATGGACCTGATAATTTAGGAAATTGTAGTAAATGAAAAATGCCGAGCTATACGTTTTGAATAAAATAATTAAACTAATAACTATGCCTATTTGTTTTATTTATCATTGTCAACAGGTATCTTACTAGAAGATATTCATACAATTCGAGAACTAAGAGGGACAAAAAAATTCATAATTGTTTGCTGATAAAAGTACACTAAAATTATTAAGTTTCAAGGGGTACTACATCCTAAGAAAACACCCAAATTTCCCAAAAAAAAAAAAAAAAATCATTGATTGAAAGAGCCGATTAAAATCTTTGCAGACAGAAAATGTGTTGCTTGCGTTAAAAAACAATGTAGATGCAAAAACAAAACAACATTTACATAAAATACACTTGCTGGAAATGTATACATGTATACAAAAATGGTCTGGAAAAGTTTAAGCAACAAGCTAAGATTAAAAAGAAAACTAACCAAAGCCATCATCGCCCATGAGAGTTATTGACCCCAAGTCTTCCCTCATTGTTATTTCCTCAGGTCGACTCTGATTTACAGAAAACTGCGCTTGAACATTTATGTCCCTGAAGTAAAGTAAAAAGTTACAATTCATTTAATTAGTAAAATAAAAAAAAACAACACACCAAAACTCTTGTAATTTAAAAAAAAATATTGTGTATATGTGAGTGGGTATATAATTTATATCATTCTTAAACACTAACTACAAAGGAAGTTAAGTTTGAACTTACTCTAAATCAGCAAGTGTTGTCTCAAAGTCATGAAAATTTTCTTGTAAAGTGATGGCAGCCACAGCAGCCTCTCTGTTTTCTTCAGGCAAATCCACCACACCAGGCCGGAAGGCCATTTTAATCTTAACAAAAGCTTCATTGCAATCAGCCAACAAATACTTTGCTTTTCTTGAGTAGATTCGAACCACACCAAGCAGCAAGTGGCCAGAAGTCCGAAGTGCCATTTTGACCTGCAAGAATTAGTATTATATTCTAATTTTGGAATATAATTAGAAACAAATTATAGCATTACATTTTGTGCAGAACACAGTGTTTTGAAAAAGTACAGGATGATTAGCAATTTGATTAAACTATTATTTGCCTACCTTAGGTTTAAGTATGGCCTCAACACTGCTATCGATGTTGGTCTCAAAAACATGTGCCTTGGTCAGTTTTTTGTCCCAATGAGCAGCCAGCCATATTCGAGCCAGGGGCCCTTTTTTGTTAAGCACAAAGCTTGCGTAAAACATTTTGTATTAGACTTTCTGTGTACAAGTTGATAAATCTGAAGGGAGAAAAGTCAACATTTTAATAAATTCATAAATGCTAAGCTGTTAAATGGAATATCAGTCTTCACTCAAGAGCTTTTACAGCATGCTCTTAAGTAAAAACAACACCAATAACTGTACAACTTGTTCTAAAGCTGTCTCAAAAACTACCAGTTAAATAGTAGGCCCTGTAGGAATAGAATAATGCCATGAATATCTTCACTTGTAATAATAATTATTATAAGGTATATTGGCCTATACTACTAGAAAATTTTATTACTGCTCAATTTCATTCCTCCAGCTCACCTCCCACTATTTCACAGTAATATGTATATTTGTATTATCTCAATGTGGAGTAGGAACAATGTCAACATGGGGTAGTACTGCTCTCTAGACAGCTTACACATATTGCATTTTTGCTACAGCAATAAAAAAACTTCTAATTCCATAGGCATACATTCACTACATACAAGTCCTACCATAGCAGACGTAACCCTCATATCTGACAACAGTTAGTATACACTAAACCTGGATATTTCAATATGGGTATGTACCTAAATGACTTAAATACTAATAGGCTATTGCTTGCTGTTGTCAAATCTAGATATCTCTAAACCAAATTCTGACCATAAAAGTGACTAAACCTGAGTAAATTGTACTATATAGTTATAGCTGATTCTAGCCGAAAAAAGATATGTATGCGCAATGGAGAGAAACTACGACTTGCCTTCGCTGTGATGTTTTAGATGGTACTGCACATGCACGTGTTTACAACCGCAGAACCCTAGCCCTAACCATAGGTCACTGTGCATGTGCAGAGCTATTTTTTGCCGACCAGGTGGAGACGCTAGGATGGAAAATCTTTCTCGAGTAGACAATAGGCCTACAAGTCTAGATCACTAACTTTAGAACTAGACCAGTGGTTCTTTTAAAAAACATTGGTATGTATTTCACTAGTGCACAAAATGAACCGTGCATCAAAAGCAATCTGTTTGAAAACAAAACCATTACAACTACAAATTTCACACACAAAAAAACAGGAGAATGATTATGAAATTATGTGCTGCAAATCAAAATGTAATTTCTGCTGCTGCCTTTCACGCAGATAATGGAATCTTCTTTAAAAAAGGGTGTTAGGCGTTAGGTTACTGGTAGTTAACTAAATACACACATGGCTAGCTAATGTCCATGCTAACCTTATCCCTAGCCCTAACCGCTAACCCAACCCTGGTCCATACGTAGGGACTTGGATGATGTAGATTTTGAGGCACTAAAAACGAGAGTTTTCTGCCCATACCGAGTTTCGTCGATTTAGCCGTGCGGTCGCGGGTGATGATCGAAAAAATTTTTTTTTATTAAAAATCGCCGATGCTACTAATAATTTGATGACTGATTCTGAAAAACAAATGGATTTCATATGTTACGGTATTTTTGTTTTGAGATTTTGTTGAAGGTGAAAATGGATTTTTTGAGCCAAACTTTGGCTACGTAAAACTCTTTGTACCATAAAAACTTACTAACAAGGAAGGCCATTAAAAAGCCCTCCGACCATAATCACCATTTTTCTTTATGTGTGTAAATTTTCATAAAGTTAATCGATAGCAAAGTATTTTTTTATAAATAGTTTAGAAAGTATAGCCTTAAGCCATTTTACAACTACCGGGAAAGACAGAGGTTGAAACCGGAAGTGTACTTGTGTTGTTAATGACGCCATTGCTCTCAATTGAATTGATTTGTAAATCCAGCAACATCCACACGAATCTGACTTTAAAATCATTTTAAACTATAGAATTATATTTTATATTGATAAAACTATGATTTTTTGTTGACTTTGTGCGCATATTTTCTATTTAGATTCATTTTTTTTGTAATTTTGAGTTAGATCTAAAAATAGATTTCTAGTTGAATTATTGTTTCATTTTAATTGTATGGCCTAGATATAGATCTATATTGTTCTTGAATGAGTTCTATATTTTATATTAGCTATCATTATAGTATCTTGTGTACTTTCCACATTTTTCTTAAATTTTAAAGCTTGATATAGGCCTAGATCTAGAATCTAATATAAAATTCCATTTGCCTATCATTTGGTCTATAAATTTTCTTATAATAAGATATAGGCCAATAGGGTAATTCTATATTAAACATTTAGCCTTTTGATTGCTTTTCAAGCGAATTTTTATTACCAATATTACTAATATTCAAACATTTTAGGAGTCCTATATTTTCTTTATAGCTCTAGGACTTTGTTCGTTTAGATTTATTACTAAATTACTACAATCCTTGTACAATGTTCTGTCTTCATCTGTAGGCCTATTTGAAGTACATATGATACTACTGTATTTTTGCTGTAGTATACATCTCAGCTGCTTTTTTACTAGTCTTGGCCCTAGATAAAATGTACCAGTTCACAAGGGGATAGAGAATCAAAAGATGTGGATCTACTCATAAGCAACTTCAATGAAAGAGAAATAGGTCCACTTAAGAATGGATGTTGCTGGTTTTTATTACAGTTCTAAAAGCTATCAGTCAGAGGAGACACAGCTTCAGTAGATGTTTAATCAGATTTCATTTTTAAATCATTGATGGTGTTATTTTTTAAAGTAAAAAAGTGATACAAGCTAACAGACTTAAACATGTTATCCACACAGCATGAGATGTCACTTAAATATATGACAGATGTTTCTTAATTATAAAACTTACCTTTAACATTAAATGGTGATCATTACTCCACCAATAAAAAAATCATTCCAATTATTAAATTATTTGTTCAACAATAATTGTAAATTAAATTATATCAATTCTATGATAACATACACATAACAGGGATGAAATATCATGCATATTGACAACATTTAGATACAATTTTAGTAATCTAAAATCAGTTTAGCATTGTGCTTCTTTCTTGCAAAAAAGTAGTTGCGCAGAACAAAAATGACTTTTTAAATTTGACCAACATTGTAACAAAACCACATAAGCTAAGTGAAATATGTTTACTTTGTGTGGATGTATACAATGTTGGCACCAATTAGGCCAATTTTCATTAAGATATTCCATATAATAAAAATTTGGCAACAGATTATGTGTTGCCTATAGCAGAATTTATTGTTTAAAATTAAGGGGGGTATATGAGTTTAAACCCCTTTTTCATTAAATAAAATATTTTTAAAATCAAATTTGAACAAAGGAAATATCAAAGTATATAATAACCTTCATGTTTACAATATTTCTTGCATATAAGCAAAGTAATCTAAAATCAGCTCAACATTGTACTTCTTTCTTGCAAAAAAAGTAGTTGCGCAGAATAAAAATGACTTTTTTATTTTGTCCAACATTGTAATAAAACCACATAAGCTAAGTAAAATATTTTGACTTTCTGTTAATGTATACAGTAGGCCGTTCGATTCACAGCTTCCGGGTTTGTTGTTTTGAAGCCATCTCACGGCTCATGCGCTTACCAAAAATGGCGACCAGTTTCGCTTTCACTAATGGGTAGAGGGATAAAACTAATGATTACGAAGCCATCGTTAATTTTAGAAATCGGAACTATCCGTTTCTATTTAAGTCTATTAATTAAGAATTGTCGGATCTACTTTTGGCCTAATTTCTTTGTTTGTCTCGCAAGCGGCGCCTTAGTGAAAGTAGCTCTATATAAGTCTCATCTTTCGAATCAAATAACTCTAAAATACCCCGTGTATAATAAACCAAACTAAGTGTATATGAAACTTGAAAGTATCAATTTTACACACATTACAATTTACTGGTAATAACTTATGGTCGGAATGAGATGTGGTCCGTTCAAGTAATAATGCCATTTTATTATAATCTTTTTTGGTGAACACGAGGCGCGGGAAAATGTGTGCCGCGCAAGAATCCAATCATTTGGCTAGGTTTATGACTGTTTTTTTATGTCACACCTAAAAATAGAATGTTTACGCTTTCTTCATTGATGATCGTTTTTATTATTTTTTAAACTGAAAGTATGAATTATTAGTTAGATTTTAGGTTTTGTAGCTTGGTATACTTACCCTTTATCAATTTTAAAAGCATAGCATGCTGATTGTGAACAAATAGTCATAAGACACAGAAATAAAAAGTTACATGCGATGTGCCACACCCGGGTCACACCCCCTCAAGAAAACACGTGTTTATTAAGCTGTTTATCTCACTTTATAACAGTAATTAAAATTAATTGTCAAATTTTTATTACTTATTGGGTAATATTAAGCACATGTTTACTAATAGTTAAAAAGAAACATAAGTAAATTCTGTTTTAATGAAGGTCACGGGTCAAGTTTTTTTTCCTTCTTTCAAGTTCAGTGGAGGGTGCCACAGGCTGACCTGACTTTGGAATTTTTTTTAGTAATAATGACTTTGCACAGAAAGTTAAAATATGCTAAATTAGCTTAGTTTACTAGTATTCTAGCTATTATTAATACATTTTTAATAAAAAAATCATTCTGTAATTCTCATCAAAAAGCCTATGTATACAGTGTTGGCACTATTCAGGCCAATTTTCAGTAAGATATTCCATATAATAAAAATTTGGCAACAGATTGTGTGTAGCCTATCAAAGACGCTTATTCAAAAATTTTAGGGGGGTGACCCTCTTTGTTAACATTATTTTTTATGATCATTCTCATCCAATTCAATTATTTTTATCTTACTCTTTTACTGATATCATAAGCTTGATCTTAGTGAATTTTCATTAAAAAATACCTGCTATTTAAAAAGTTACAGAGATTTTAGTTCGCATCCAAAAAAGTAGGGAAGCAAAAAATTGAGAAAACCCCATAGTAAAAAAACCAGAAAATTAAATACATTAAAAATTCATAACTTCGTAACCGTTTGAGCTAAAATTAAAATAAAAGTATCTTTGTTCTTGTCTAAATGAGCTCTATAAACTGGTGCTACTACATTTTTTATTTTTTTAAAAATGAAATTTCATCCAAGTCCCTATCCATACGCCTTGTAACCATAACATTAACTTTATCAACTATCAAGCTAACCAACCGAACACACCTATTTCTGGAAGAGTCTATTATCGGACATCTAAATCTTCAATCATCCCGCGTAACCATGAAACTAGACGAAATTACAATACTAGATCTAGATCTAGATCTACTAAAATCTAACCTAGAATCTATCATAATTCACGTCTGCAGTATGAGCTAGAATTTTACTAGGCCGAAGGAAGTTTGCAAAAGTAAATTTAGGTCACAAAACAACATTCATTGCCTGCTGGATGTTGGGAAGTATGGAAAGAGAATGCAGAAATAAGTCGTGCATACTTATAAAAACAATTATTTAAGGCAATGTTCAGATTTTCGATGGAAAAATTAACAACGGTGGTGTCTTTTCTGATGTTTACCTGGATTATTCGAATTTTTTAACCAACAAATCACACCATCTTCACATTTTTAATACGTAGACAACTATCCGAAACTCGGTGTTTATACAAAGATGGCGTCTTTACTATTAGATTCAATTCCCGCTAAAATACGAGATTATGCAAATGAAGCTACATCACCAGTTTATTACTCCACAAACAAAATGTAGTACCTAATCACAGTAAGAAACGATTCTTTTTAGACTACAGTATTTGTCGAAATAAAAAAAAAAATACAGTCTAGAAAAAATAATTGATGAAAAATCATTAATAATGAAAAACAAGGATAACCGAAATCTGTCAGTATGAGCGCTATTATAGAGATTTATTCGCGTTATTTTCATATTTAGACCTAGATCTAGACAAGAATGGGTTAAATTTGGAGGGAACTACAAAATTGTTTGATGTTCCAAGCTCGATGATTAGTAAAACGTTTGTCAATGGCATGGGAATTATAGTAAAGGCACTGAACCTGAGTTGGATTATTTCCCCTTTATTAACAAAAAACAAACAAACAAAAACGACTAAGTATCAGCACTATGGTGACTATGAATGGCTTTTCATAAAGTTTACATAAGCATGTACAAACTTGTTTTTATGAGATCGATAAATAAAACCAGCAATCACCGAAAAGCACTCTGTCATGCCAAGATGTCCTTTTCATTCGCACATTTTGTAGACTTCTGGTTAGCACCTAGGCAGACAAAATGTTTATTGGATTGTAGTTTGTAGGAAAAATTGTCACAGGAAAAAAAACAGAAAAAAGTCACGTGAAAAAAGTCACAAATGTGTATTAACATGGAATTTTTTAATAGGCCTACTTTTATGCATAAAATATTCAGTAGATGCAAATCAACTTACGATTAATTAAATGTAATGTAAGCATTGTAGATATATGTGCGTAGTAGGTTGTGTGCATATTGTAATATTTATAAAACACGTAAAATATTTAGTATGAAGTATGTATGTTTTAATTCTTTTATCCATATACTATTTAATAGGGGGGTTATCCATAAATGACGTCACGCTTTTTTGGACGATTTTTACCTCCCCTCCGTCATACATCGTCACAAAAAGTAAGCCAGACCCCCCCTAAAATGACGTCACACCTCAGCCTACCCCCCCCCCCCCCCTCAAATATGCAGTTGAATTTTTTTTGAAAACATCGATATTTTTCCAAAATCTTGTCTGTACTCTGTCAGAATAGAGTATTTTAATCAATTCCTATTACAATTTATTAAAACAGTTTTCTAAAACGCAAAATAATGTCTAAAATTAGTTTTCTAGCATTGCTTTTTTATAATGCAAAAGTGTGACGTCGCACCATCTGACCCCCCTCCCCCTCATCACACAACGTCACAAAATTACGGACCCCCCCTCCCCCTACGAGTGTGACGTCATTCATGGACGACCCCTAGAATGTTTTTTTATCGTGTTTTTAAAATACTAACATTAAAGTATTGTGAAATGGCATAAGGATGTATGGTTAACAGTGTTTCTTCCACACTTTTTTCTCCGGGGGGGGGGGGGGGGGGGGATGCTTGCGAGTGAGACCTAATTCAGAATGTAGACCCTAGGCCTAACAATTGTATTATTTTAATTTTAGTTACCACCTCACTACACGATCTGACGCTATCTGACTAAATAACTTTCAAGTGCTGTGCATTTTTCAAAAGGCATCAATCATAGACTGATGTGTCGGAATTCGACCGCTGTTTGTGTTTTTAACTCTAAAATCAACCCACTTTATTGTCATAAGCGAACGCTGTTCGGGCTAATTATTTTAGCGAGCGTCGGTTTTACCTATAAAATTAAGACCTACTGCAGAAGACATGCATAGTTTGTTGCTTTACTTAAACTAACTCTAAAAGTATTGATGAAGGGTCCAACTGGCAGGGGTCACGTTTCGCCGGGAGATTAGTGATAGCTAAATTAAAATTGTGTAATTTTAATAATCAAAATTACACAAAAAGTTACTGGCCAGTATGGGGATCGAACCCACGACATTCGCGTTATTAGCACGACGCTCTAACCAACTGAGCTAACCGGCCGTTACATTACAGGGTTGCTCCAACTAAATAATTCTTACATCAACAGTGCAATGTAAAAAAAAAATCGATTTCAGCTATTGTATTTTTTTTTAAAGGCAAGTGTTCTTTAGACTTCGAAAGCATAGGACCAAACAAGACACAAACTTTACTTAAAAAAAAAAGCTACAACTGACCTATTTATGTTTTCTCTATCTAGGTCACTAGGTCAACAGCATAGTTCGTTTTACCGTAGGCCTAGTAGGGTCAAACGAATGGGACACTCGTTAAAAAATTAAATAAGTTAGTGGCGTAGTCGGAGGGGAAGCAGAAGTAACTATGTAACCAGCAGAAGTAATCATGTAACGAGCACTAAAACCATCACCCAACAGAACCAGAATCAAAGAAAAATAGAGCACAACTGAACAAGAGCAAATTTTAATGTTGCGAAGAATAGAGGGGAGGTAATCATAATAATACTAAAAGCACACATAAAAACCAGAGTTCTACACCCTGTTGAACAATTCTGCTTATGTTACAGATTCATGAATACACATTGGAAGTACTACTATTTCAAAGCTGTAGGCTACATCATTGTAGACTGCAGTAAAAAAATTAGTTTACCTCACCAAAAAAATGTCTTGAGGAAAAATTAAAAGTTTAGAAGATAGAAATAATATCTTTTAAGACAAGAAGAAATCAATTTGGAAATAGGTCTATATAGAAATGTTTTAGTTGCTCTATAACAGGGGTCTCCAAACTTTTTATCCCGAGGGCCGCATAAACTATCAAATATCAGTTCGAGTTTCTGCCAGGCATCTCTTCGGGGTGGCGCCCCCTCCCCCCGAAAAACGTCTACCTCCCCCCACCCCCAACGATAATTTAATTCATATAGAAATATAAATACAGCTGTCAAGTGACTCATATAGGCCTATTGAAATTGAAAAATGGCGAAACTTGCTTGCATTTTTCGTCATTTGATGCAATGTTTTCACGAATGTCTGCAACACAGAGGCGTAGCGACCCTTCCCGGCGCCCGGGGACATACTTTCAATTTGGCGCCCCCTTGGGAGCAAATTTTCGATTTGCACCCCCCCTCAAACTTTCGATTTGCACCCCCCCCCCCCTCGAACTTTTCATTTGCACCCCCCCTCAAACTTTCAATTTGGCGCCCCCCCTAAGGTCGGCGCCCGGGGACATATGTCCCCCCCCCCCTCGCTACGCTACTGCTGCAACACGGTGGGCAATTATATTTGCACTCAATGCTACATTTTCAATTTGTTTTGAATTTTTCCTCAGCCTCCTCCAACAAACATTTTTCCTTGGACAAAAAGATCTCAGCGGGCAGCATCCGTAGTTTGGAGACCCCTGATCTATAATATATCAGAAAAGTTGGGATACAAAGTTTGTTGGGATACAAAGGCCAAATTACGAGAACTGTATTGTAAGAATTATATTTAAGAAAAAGTGTAAAAGGGGCAGTGTAAATCTTATGAAAAAATAAATGAATTTATTTGATGATGCTGGCTTCATGTTCATGGGAGTAAAATAATGGAAATAGGTTACACATTTTATAAGAACATTTCTTGTTAAATTTTAAAAAAAATAATTTTCTGAGAATTAGAGATTTTATTTCCAAGTTTGATATCACTAAAAGTATAAACATTACATCGAATATTTAGTTCAAAGTACTTCATCACTGTAAGCATTACTTCAAAGATCTAAAGTTTAATACCAGCTGGGTAAACATTACATCAGAGATTTGAAGTTAAATATTATTAGGGTAAACATTACTTCAAAGATAAAAAGTTTAATACCAGCAGGTAAATATTACATCAGAGATTTAAATGCCGTGTGACTAGACGCTAATGGTAGGCTTTGAATTTGTCATTTTGTAAACATCGTGGTCTGTGCTCAGAGGACAGATAAAATGACCCTTCAGTAATGTAATAGTGGGTGGGGCAAGCTGGACATCACTGTTAAAGTGGGTGGGGCATACATCAGATATGTTATATGGTGGGTGGGGCATACATCAGATATGTTATATGGTGGGTGGGGCAAGCTGGACATCATGTTAAAGTGGGTGTGGCATACATCAGATATTTTATGGTGGGTGGGGCATACATCAGATATGTTATGGTGGGTGGGCCATACATCAGATATGTTATGGTGGGTGGGGCATACATCAGAATGTTATGGTGGGTGGGGCAAACTGGACATCATGTTAAAGTGGGTGGAGCATACATCAGATATGTTATGGTAGGTGGGGCATAGATCAGATATGTAATGGTGGGCGGGGCACGGTAGTCATAAATGTTAAAGTGGGTGGGGCATACATAATATACTTGCACGATTACAAGACTTTCTCTATACTTCGTATATGCGAGAAAGTAAAAATGGTTTAGACCCAAGCTAGAAGCTCACTGAGGCTAAAAATGTATTTTTAGGGTCGCTGTTTTCACGGCCTTGCTATTTTTAACACATTAAGTGGTCCTTACACTTATTTCCTTTCATAGAAGTGTTCCATGACATTACGATTTTTTAAAGCCATTTTTACCTCCCCCTTTCGATTGTCCCACATCGTCACAAAAAGCCAGCCCCCGCCCTACCCCCAAAGTGACGTCACACTACAAATCCTCTCAAAATCGTAGGGGGAGGGAGGGGCACACATCTCCTACTAGTGTGACGTCATTTATAGACCACCCCTTTTCACAGTTGCAGAGGCGTAGCGACCCTTCCCGGCGCCCGTGGACAAACTTTCGATTTCCACCCCCCCCCCCTCAAACTTTCAATTTGTTTTTCCAACCCATTTTGGCGCCCCCTATGTTCGGCGCCCGGGGACATATGCCCCCCCCCCCGCTACGCCTCTGCACAGTTGTACGTATGATCCCCACCCCGGGACGCCCATGACACGCCCCACACCTGTCAGTTTGAGATACACTGTTGTAGATATTTCATTACCCTCCAAATCGTATTGATGACGTCGACCTAATCGATACAGCGTATCGGGTTATTAGGGTTAAACCAACACACTATCTAGACTTTGTAAAGACATTGATAGCCTCGAACCCAGGATGGGCAG